TCTAAACATGTCCAAAACCGTGAACTTAGGTCAAAGGTAAAAATTCTGAAATGTGTAACCATTGTACACATAATTACATATATTAATAAATATTTGATATTTTTTATACAATTTGCTTTAATTTATTAAAAGAAAATAATACAATAGGAAAATGTAAGTTTTGAAGCTCCACAATTCATTGAACAACAAAATTGAATACCCTATTCTTTAAATATGAATAAATATGCTTTTAGCAGAGTTGGCAAGGTTTAGGACAGAATTGATTATTCCACCGTTTAAACCGTCCTGTCTTAAACTGTCCAAAACCCTTTTGTTCAAATTCTCCAAGACCTTTTTGTTCACATTATGTCATAGTTTTACAAAAAATAATGGGAAAAATAAAAGGTTAATTTTTGAACAAGAAACAAAAAGAATACAAGATTATGTTTTATTAAAAAAGTTTATTATTATTTTTAATATTTCATTATTAATCCTTATTCAAAAACATAATTTATCAGTATTAAAAGCATATTTAAAGGATAAGGCATTCACTTTTGTTATAAGGTGAATTTTGCAGCTTCAAAAAATATTAATCTTTTCCTATTATATTACATTATATTATTTTCCTTTAATAATTTAAAGTAAAAGTATCAAATATTTATTAATATATGTAATTATGTGTACAATGGTTACCCATATAAAATTTTTACCTTTTGAAAATGTTCAAGGTTTTGGACACTTTAAGACAGTAAAGCCCATGTGTCCTTTCCAAAACCAGTTTAAGACGTCCAAAACCCCAACCCCGGCTTTCAATACTGATAAATTATGTTTTTGCAAAAGGATAAATAATACAATATTAAAGATAATAGTGCAATATTAAAAATAATAATAAACTTTTTTAATAAAACAAAAACCTGTCTTCACTTTGTTTCTTGTTCAAAAATTAACCTTTTATTTTTCATGATATTTTTTTTAAAATTGTGACAATCTTAATAAAAAGGTTTTGGACAGTTTTATGCTAAGAGGTTTTCGACAGGACGGTTTAAACCATGAATTAATCCATTCTGTCTTAAACCTTGCCAACTCTGGTCTCTGTACAGCAAACGAAAAATGCTAAAAAGTTACAGTTTCAGATAAAGTAAAAAAAAATAAGACTTATTTAGCTAACTGTGAGATTTAAGAACAAAACTAATATTTTATGTATCTAGGAATATGAGGTTTTAAAATTACACAGGATGATTCATAAAGAAGTATACAATTTCATTGTCCTATAAATCAAGAAAAATTTATAAGTTATATGTTGTCTGCATCAGAATTATATGTTAGCGAAAGTCCTATGGATGGTGCTTTCTACACTAGGGAGCGCTGCAAGCTCGAGACTGCCTAAATTTCCGGGTTACTGTTTCAGTTGTATTTTAAAGCCATTTGGCATCATTGTGCTTTGAGATTCTTGCAAACAATGCATTTGATTACTTATTACTTATGTTTACAATGCTAACAATACTGTTTACAATACTAAAAGTGTTAACACTAACGTAAGATGGTGCACAGCTTGCAACACGAACAAACAGTAATAAACAAATGGAAAGAGGCCAAAAAAGCGAATCTAGCAACCATGTCACCTTTTTTAATAATAAATAACAAAATAACTGAAACAAATTTTCACTCTTAACTCCCCAGAATTACATACTTATGAAATACGGCAGATTTGAGCTCAGAAATTATCTAGTTTATTTCTTTTATTGAAAACAAAATTATCCGTTTGAAAACATCGCCTATCAGAATAACGTGTAGTAAGCCGCTGCAAACTTTTTAACCGGAACTAGAGTAGGTCCCGAGCTCGAGATTGTTATTGTTTACATTTCTATTGAAAACACCATCCATTGAATTTATGGAATACCAAAGAATACCTGGAGAAGGTCTTTTCATTTTCCTTCTAACCTTCAGTAAGAGTTGGGCCCGAAATATAGAGAAAATACCTGAACCTCCAAGACCCGTTCCCCTGTCTCCCCTACATTTTCAGTGGGGGTACGTGTACTTCCTGGGGTGTTAAGTAACCAGTGTCTTCCTGGGGTGTTAAATAAATTGTTTACATTTCTATTGAAAACACCATCCATATGTTTTATATGTGGCCCCTTAGTCACGCGACACCACATTGCTCATATAATCCATTTCCGTCCAAGCACATGTTAACGTATCTTAATCAAATCCATTGAAGTTCAATAGTTTTCTGCAACTGTGGCATCAACCCAAGAGTTTATATCCTGAAAAGTGGCTCCAATGACAGTTGACTGTTGGAAAAAAAGGGGATGAATGCTTTTTTTATGTTGCGTTATAGGTGGTAACTATTGATGGACTTGATTCTGATCTCTTGACCTTATTACACATTAGGGCAGAAAAGGATTACTAGCTCAATGTGTGTCATGTGGCTAAGGGATCACACATAGAACCTCTAAGACTGTTCCTAACAAAACTTGAAAATAATATTATATAATGTTGCAGGTTTGATATATCTTAGATTGTTCTCAGTTGTGCTAAAAAAGTTTTTTCTCCTGCAATGCAAGTCTACGTAAATGGGGACAGGGTATTAAAAGGAAAAATTAAAATTAATACCTTACTGAAATGTAGTGTTTCTCAGCAGATGTAGGAATGGAGCAAAGGAATAGGACTAAATCCTATAAGCTATATATAAAATTCTAGTTCAAATTAAGAAAATTTCACATACATTTAGAATAGCTCAAGATCAAAATTATTTTAACTTTCAAACAAATATAAATTATGTTTAAATTCTACTGTTTTATAAGTTAACAAGGGACAAACCATATTTGCTTCTAATAGCAATCTGATCTCATTACCAAAAAATTTATTATCAGATAAAAATTTTTCCTCTATCTTAATTCTCAAATTAATGAAGTATTTATTTTTTTACTGAGCTATAATAATTTCTTCAGAAAATACCTCTATCTGAAATTAGTACTTCTCATCTAAATCACATGTATTGGCAAATCATAAACATGCATTTTTGTTTCTTTTTCTACACCTCCCCTCCAAATAATCTGCATCTCATTTTTATTATTTGTTTCACTTTTGAATATAATTTTTTCGTAATACTATTACTGACATAGGAATGCAAAGAAGTTGACTCTATCAAACATCCAGTTATTACCTCATTACTTTTATATTTTATTTTAACTGTTACTGGCATCAATTTTTTTACATTTTTATAATTATTAGCTAAAGTATTAGATTCAATAACTTCATTTTGTTTTTTATCGCATTCGTCAAAATTATTATGACACATAAATTGTAATGATTTTTGTTACATTTCATGATTAAATTTTTTACTTCAAAAATCTAGAAGTGCTCCCCAAACAAAATAAGAGAAGCATGCCCCTTTTCTAATTGAAAGTTTTATTTTCTATACTCATGTTTCTTGCACTAAAACATTCTTTAGTGGGCTGCTGCTTATCCCAAAAAGAAATTTCTTGACTTTTCTGAATAACTGCTACTTACCAAGCTGGAAGCAGTTATATTTCCAGAAACATTTATTTTTTCAGGCACATAAGTTTTTTTTCAATAATTATTATGAGATGAAAATCAAATTTTAACCAGGATATTCATCTCTTGACTAACAACTTAGTGTTTTAGAAAATACATTTAGTGCCTCAAATTTCGTTTGCATCTTTGTGGGTCTCTAATGCTCTTGCTTTGTTCGTAAGCAATAAATAGGTCTTCTGGTTAACAAGATTCAATGAAAGAGTTCAAAAAGTCGCCATATTTTTCTTGTGTTCTACTCTAGCTATTAAGAACTCTAAGTTTTTCTTTGATTTAATCATAAAGGGAGGAGAGGTCTATTTTTATAGTTCCAAGTTGTATTGCGTTGTAAAATTTATCATCAGATAACGTTTCATCTACAATAATTTGTGAAAAATGAGACCAGAATGTCAAGTAGTCATATCTTGTATCTCCTTATTTAGTACATGGTGCAATTTATTTGCACAAATTTTCAAGGTAGTGCGCTAACTTTTTAGAAGAATTCTAATTGCAGTAATTCCATGTTCATTATCCTTATAAATAACTGCTATGTTGGGCACCACAAAACTGTTGCGTATGACCTGTGCAGTCTTATCTCAATGGGTAAACATGATACCCATTGAGATAAGACTGCACGATAAAACTATGTAATAATTTTAGCAGGTCATAGAGGAATAAACAAGCCACAAATGTAAGCAAATATATTTAATAAGGAGCATACACATATAAAAAGACAAGATGAAAATACAGATAGTAATCTGAACTTCTTGGATTTCAGAAAACCATCTGTCATGCTCAAAGTTAATATAGATACATGCACATTTAAGAGAAACTTTTTATCACACTATTCGTGTTTTAAATAAAATTAGTTAAATTTCTTTTTATTATAAGAGTTTATTTAAATTATATTTATAATTAATTTGAAACATATTTATGACATTCAAATTCTATATTCACACAGATAATCAAAAAGTAATATTTTAAGAAGATTTTATATCATTTTCCTAAATCTAAATTTATTTCTTATTTTTTGTTATTTAAGAACGGTCCAAATCTGTGTTGAGAATTAATATTATGAATAATTTCTTTAATCTACTTCATTTCTTGAATCTATTCCTATCTATTTCATTAATCTATTTCATTTCTTTAAATACTATGGCTTATAATCTTGATGATTTTTATTCATTTATACATTGTAATTATAACATTTTCATGAAATAAGATTAAAAATATATATATATATGATGTAACTTTCCTTTCCTTAGAAGTTTGTCGTAACATTTACGGGTCACCCTGTATATTATATATATAATATAGGTATTTCTTAAAATTATAATTTTTAAAAGCAGAAATTAACCATAATCAATTACTATATATGTCTCTCTCCTTTCCCCTTTTTCTAGCTAGATATTTTTTCTTATGGCCACTATCACCCTTGAAGGTGACTACTGCCTTTCTTTATTGAAATAAATTTTGTTAATTTGTAGGATCAGTCTTTGTACATCAAGAAGTATACACTATATGCCTCAACAGAGAGCAATTGAAGTTGTCAAATATTTCAATCCTTTCATGTTTCATTTGCACAATTTAAATGCCAGCTATAAAGGTAAGCATAAAGGTTTTATTTTATGTATATTAAAATCAATCTATATTAAAATCAATCTATATTAAAGCCTTAAAAATAATCACACACGAACCACTTTGAATTTTACTAAAATTCAATACATTTTACTTAATAACTTTAGGTACAGTATGTATGAGTAATTTATTATAGATCTCAGTACTGGTTTATTCATGATAAGTGAGTTATCTAAATAGTTGATAGGGAAATGTTCTCTAAAAAGATTAGATTTAAAAAAAAAAATATTTTTGAAGTTTTGTTACATAGCTGAAAGTTCTTACTTATTTTTAAATTTTCTCCTTTCTTGAATGACTGAATTAATTTTTATTTACTGAATTTTGTAATTTTTTTGAGTGCAAGTGTTTAGGAGGATAATCTTTTACGTCTTTTAATAATATTCAATTATCAAGAAATCCTGAATCGTCATAATATTATGTTAACATAACTTTTTCTATTTTTGTGATAACACTCTTGCTTAAGCCTGTAGCTGCCAGGTAGACCTGAGACTCAATTAACTTCTTCATTTGTCCTATTTTGAAGCTTGTTATAGATACAGCATTGTTTTAGCCACACTTTATTGCTATGTCTACCTCTTCACACCTTCCAATTACTTCCTCGCTAATTCAGACAGAGGCAACCTGTAGAAAGTTGAGCACTTTTTGGTAAAATAGTTTAATGAGGACCAATATCGCTCACCCTTGGTCCATACGCAGGCGGATCAAAGTGGTCACCCACCCGCTTACTGACTGCATCCAGTGATGCTTTACTTTGGTGTTCTACTGGGAACCATGTTTTTACGATCGGTTCTTTGTGAGACTAGTTGAAAGACAAAAAGCGATATGCACTCAGCTAGAAGAAAGTAGTTAGAATAAAAAGTACAAACAAAAATATTAAATGAAGGAAACTTTTACACAAGAAAAATTTCATAACATAAAATAAAGAACGGAAAAGTGCTTGCTAGTGAAAGTCAGAACAAATCATGGAAAATACCATCTAAAACAAGGTACGTAGGTACTTTATTAACATCACACCAGAGCTGCACTATGGGCTATTGGTGACAGTCAGGGAAACATCCTTGAGGATAACCCGAAGACATGCCATCGCAATTTTGGTCCTCTGCAGAGGGGATGGCTCCCCTGCTTTGGTAACCGAACGACGTGCGCACGAAGTAGAGCACTTTACAGTAGAACAATTTCATGAGGACCAATACCGCACACCCTCGGTCCCTACACAGGCTGATCAAAGTGCTCACCCACACACACACTGACCGCTGCCAATGATGCTTGACTTCGGTATTCTACTGGGAACCACGTCTTTATAATCAGTCGACTGCGGGACCCATCTAAAAAAAAGAAAAAAAGTTAGTGATCTGTAGTCCCTATAAAGCATTTAGAAATAATCTAGCTTTAGGCAGAATTAAAAGTTAATTTTTTACATGCACCCAAATTAGTTCTAGTTCCTAGCAATAAAGTCCATATTAATTGTATTGATGAAAAAACAAAAAAGAGTTATCAGTTTCTTTACAAATGATTGTAAATCAAGTCAGTTCTAATCTTAAGAAATTACTCTATTTTACTAAATGAAGCTGGAAAAACAAAGATGCAAAATTAAAGTATCTCTTTTGTATCTAAAAGGTATTTAAAATCTGCTTTTGGGATCAATATCTTATTTGAGTCCAAAGAAAAAACTTAATGATCAATTCTAGATCTGGAAGATGCATAATAATGAAATAAAAAACAGCTATGGAGAATAGGTGTTTCAACCCCAAGAAAAAGATATTTCAATGGTGATACTTATGAAAATAAGAAATTTCATGGACTGATATTTTCATTTATAGTAAAAAAAAATTGCCAAATACAGTTCAAAATTTCATTCATGTCATGCCTATCATGCGGATAAATATTTTTTGGAAAAGTTATTTTCTTCAAATTTTATTATTTCATCTCTTAAAATTAAGTTTTTTTGATTTTTTTGTTCAACTACAATTTCTGACTCAACAATTACTCAACAACTACAATTTCTGAAATTATGCAACATTTATTTGATATTAGTCATATTGCTCAGTTATTCTAAATTCATGTCAATTTTTTGTCATGGCTGTCATAGCATATTTTTATTTTATTAATAAAAATATTTTTCACCTAAAGAAAATATTTTGCAATATTTTTTAACTGACAAGTGTATAAACTACTTTGATTTTGACATTTGTAAAAATATCTTTGTATTAATTATATAAAATTAGGCAAATAAGTTACCCGTCACACCTGGAATTTTCCAAAAGTTAAATTTCAAATATAGATCAAAAAGTTATCAATGAAAAAATATACTATGCCACCCCTACTGAAGGTTATCCACTAAATTCAGTTTTTTTTCTAACTAAAGGAAGAGAAATAAATCAGAAGTAAATAGATCACACTCATTTAATTTTGCATTTATTAGAAATCAGAATCGGTTACTGCTCTTCTAGGTAACGCCATATGGGATTGTTTGGAAAGTAATTTAATTTGAAATTTTGATAACGATTTTCTTATATTAAATAAATATTTTATTGAATTATATATTATCCATTTTGGTCCAATACCTTTTGCATTTTTCTGGCTATAACATGATTTCATGCTCATAAAAGTTTTGTTCTTTGTGGGCAAAAAACTGATCTAGGTGATTTTTGATCTCATTTGAAGTAAATGTTTTATCATAAATAAACCAGAAGAAGAGATCAGAACATTGTTGCAGATAACCCATTTCTGATCCCCAGTGATAATGCACTTCAAAAATTGATAATTTTCTTGACGTTAGAAAAGCAAATCACAAACATCAACATGACGGCACAAACTTCTTTCCGTAGAAACAAAAAAAAAAAAAACCATATATAAAGCTTTGAGATTTAAACCTAGGCGATTTAAATGATCATAAGCGGTCGAGTCTAAAAAATTTAATCTCTCAGCCATCTCAGGAGTCGTTTGCATTAATTAATGCTTTTATTGCATCTTCAGCAGCTGTCCTTCCAGCATCTTTAACATCAAAATTTTGCAAACCAGTTGTGGTACTGGTTTTGTGTCAATACATCTTCTTCATACACATTGGTTATTTTTTTTTCTTGCTTTAACTGTTTTTACCTTTTCAATAGTAAAAAAGTAAAATATGCTGACAATGAAACTTTTCATTTTCTATATATGAAAGGGCACTAACCAAAAACAATCAAACTTTTTCATAAGCAAGCCTTGCTATATCAGCTGTTAAAATATATAATGATTTTGCGGCTTAAGTGTGAAGTTGGCTGTGAAACAAGTATAATTAAATTCTCTGTTGGGAAATGAAACTAAATTACCTTCCAAACAACCCAATACTGTCTTTTCTTGAATTCTCACCCGAAGTTCATCATTTCAGAATTTTCCTCTAAAATTTTATGGATCTCATGGGCTTGAAGTTTTGCCAAAGTTGTGTCCCATTATTTCAAATTTACATAAAAAAATATGACATCACATGCAAATATGAACCCTGCTTAATATAGCTCGTTGGATCAAATTTTTTATTATTTCATTGGTACAAAATTATAGGAAACCAAACTGCTGGAAAAATATGGTCCATACTTATTTGTAATTCCATTACAATTCCCTGGCATATTTTCTCTGCAAATTTCAGAATTGTTAATTGGACATAACTATCTCCAGAATCACCTCTTCTAGTTCTGACTCTCTTGGCTGCCCTTTGTGTTCCACAGGATAGGCTATGAACTTTAATCACTTGACAGCTGCCAAACCCTGAGCAGCTTTACTAATTCTTTGATTATTGACAACTTTCACATTAAGGCTGCATTGTGCAGTACTGTTAGAAAGAAAGTGGCTGATAAGGCCGGCTACTTGATGTTGGAATAGTAAGCAAATTGGTTCAATTTTAGAGCATGGATGAAAAGTTCACTTGCTATTAATTGCCAACGGCAAAATATTTTCTGTGAAGAAATGTCCAAAAGTGGCAGGTTATACATTTAATCAATTATAAGGCCTATGATATCTTAACAAGTACCCATTTTCTTTCCTTATCAATTTTAGCATAAAAACTTTTGGTAGTCCTCTGTTCACCACAATTTCAGTTCCAATATTTAGTTTCTTATTTGATAAATTTTGCAACAACTACATGCAATATGGTTTTCTAAAAGCTAGACTGAAGTTCTTATAAAAATATTTCCTGGAGAAATGGTATTTAGGACTTAAGTTTCAAATTTTCAAGGGTTGTATTAGTTGATTTGTACAAAATTGTAAAATGATATTTATCTTGTGTGTTATTTGTTCTGTGTAAGCATTAACCCTATCATAAATATCATACATTTTCCCCTTTAGGTATTAAATGCACCATTTGTTCTAAAACCAACTGCTTTATTGTTCCTCTGTGGAATGTTCCAATATATGATCTCTTTAAACTCCTGCATCAAGTTAATTTGTCTAATATTAATAGATCTATCAGTGATTTTACTGTTAAGAATAAATGTGGAAATTCAAGTGATCTCTTTTTGTATCCTTTCTGTTACAAGTTTTTATGTACATAATTTATTTATGAATTTTGAATCAAGAAATTTAAGTATTTTATAAATTAATAAATATACAGGATTAGGAAAAATGTATAACCATATTTTAATTTTTGAATTTATATTGTTTGAAACCATTAAACAAATTATAATATATAGTATGCAGAATTAAAGAAAATTACATAAATTTTTTTAAATCCTCAAATTACACCATTGTCTGAGGGCTATTAGTTTTCTTTTAAAAGGTGACCATCAAATTGCTCTACACTAGATTCCCAGCTATTGCGGAAGCACCGAAAATCTTGTCTGTAATCAAGTTTGTCCCACGTATTTTGCACTTTCACATTGTCATTGGTTCTTAATGCTGTACAGATGCATTCTTGCAGTGTTTTTGACATTGGTGGTTTCTAAACAGCGTGAAAAGTATCTGGAACAAATTTGATTATAGATTAGATGTTTGACAAAATTTATGACTGGAAAGAAAACTTTGTCTATTATCCTTTAAATTTGTTATAATTTTTTATAATATGTGTAATAGTTTTAATCAGCGACATATTATACAAGACAAATCACACACACCAAAATAGTTCCAAAGAGCAATGCGCCATTACTACACTCCACTCGTGGTGTTAGTAGATGGTGTAGCCCTAGTTTTCGTGGAATTTTCCTATTCTTAACATGGCAATCAAAGACTTGGACTCTTTAATTTCTTCATTTAAATAATAAGTCAATACTATTTGAGCTGATTGTTCTAAGATGTATTCTGCCAACAGTATGTTTTTTCTTAAAATACTTTATAAAGATTTATTTTTTTTTCTTCAGAAAATGAAAGAAATTTAGAGTTAACTAAATTCGTGTCTACAAACCTGGGTTGGGGGCTCAACCCCCAGCGGTGACATGGGACCATATTTTTCGCACTTTATCTTTTAAGGCATTATAAACTTGTAAATCAACTACTAAACACTTATTTACATTTATATAGTTTGTTTTTTATTTCAGATTTATTAAATTATATATTTTATTATATACTTTTAATTTAAATTTTGCTATAAAAAATTATAAAAATCTGTTTTACATAAGTTAATGTTTAATTAAACATTTTTATATGTTTATAATTCAGTACATATGATACATTATAACTTCGCATAGACAGCGTATGTCTATGCTAAGATTGTAGCATCTTATTTTCAATTTTAAAGGAAGAAAATTTCTATTCTAGTTTTCTTTTCAATATAAAAAATTTAGGTGTAAAGCTTTACTGAAATTTTTTTGTTTTTAAAAATTTTCAATTTTGGAAAAAATCTGTTCTAATCAATTGAAGAAAAATATCAATTTCTAAACTTATAATAAGTAGAAATTTTAACTATTTAGCTAATTTTTACTATTTTTTAAGTTAAAAATGGAATTATTAAAATTGAAATTGTATTCAGTTTTTTATTTTTAAAATTATTTTAATTTTAGGAGCAAATTATGTTTATATATGTATCAAACTAAAAATAATTTTTACTTATAAACATACATATGTGAAATAAATCTTTATTTTTGCGTAATTAATTTGTTTAGTATAGCAATAAAATTAATATGTAAAGTTAATATTTTAGAATTTATTATTATTTTAAATAAAAACAAAATTTTATTAAATAAAAATAAAGTCTTTTCATTACTCTGTGCAAATAGTACTTAGGGAAAACATGCTAGTCGTACTAAAAGCTAGTTTTTCTATTCAAAATTAGAAGTTTCGTATACTTCTTGATTGTAATTGAAGAATTCAGTCAGCTTATAAACTCGAATTCTGTTTGCTAATATGCTTCTATTTATGTGTTAAGTGAGGAATAAATAAAAAAAAGTATCATTGTTGAAGTCAGCTAGATTGAAAAATATCATAACCTATTTTGATGTCAGAAGAAACTTCAATTATTAATAATAATCAATTATTTATTTATATTACTTATTTATTTATTATTTATGTAATAAATAGTAATTATATTTTCAAGTGTTACAATGAAGTTTTTAAGTAGTTAAATCTTTTGATTTGAAGATTTAATAACAGAGAGTAATTTCTTTTATATTCAATCATAAAAAATGTATTTTACTATTTCTACTTTGAAAAAAAATTTTTTTTTTAATATTTTGTTCCGTTTCTTTTAATAAAAAAAGAAAAATATTTAAAGACGTGTGAGTCACATCATAAGAAGAAAATTTTATTTACCACACTCTTTGAAGGAAAAACAAGAAACTTTTATGTCCCATATATCTCACTAGATAACATCATTAGATGCAGTCCTTATCATGTCAAACTAACAAACATTTTAAAACCCAAACTGGTGACTTATTGCTCCAATGATGGTACCAAACTTCACTTTTCCTTAGGAAGTTATGCCACTGTTTTTCAGACTGAGGTCCATGCCATTATCTTGTGCTGTAAGATATGCTTAGACAGGGGATATCAAAATATGCCTATCCACATCTGTTCCGACAGTTAGGCTGCTCTCCTATCACTATCAAGGTGTAAATTCACCTCTTTACTAGTGTGAGAGTGCTTCTCTTGTCCTCTGTGATTTTTCTACTCATAACAAGGTATTGGGTACCTGGACATATGGGTATTCTTGGAAATGAGCTAGCTGATGAAGCAGCATGAGCTGGCTCCATTGCAATTTTTTGGGGCCCTGAACTAGCCTTGGGAATTTCTCCCACATCATTCAGGGCATCTATTTTCAAACTCTATGGCAAGATTGCCCATGAGCAATGGCGCAACACATACGGTCAGAGATAAGCTAATGAGCTGAATCATGACTGCCCCATGACTATTAACATTTTATTCAATTTTTATTAATTATTTCCTTACCTGCATTTAAATCATGACACTTAGTTGTGAAAATGACTCATTTCTTTCTTTTAAATGGAATTTTTTTAATAATTTTAAAAACACCCTCAAAGAATTTTAATTATTTGAACTTAGTTTATAACTTATTAAGGGCTAATGTAATTGGCAATCGAAATGGGCTGCAGGTGGTGTAGAGCAGAACTCTCTACCTATGGCAACACTTCACATGCTTTCCCCATTAACTTGTGGAGAGTCATAGAGGAAGGAAGTACGTTAATTTCTCTCTTGATTTTCATATAGATTAAAATCTTTTATGTTGGAAAACTATACGGAACTGAAAACAACAATAAACATAGTTCTAAAGAAAAGCATCATGGAAATTTTAAAAAATATTTTTATTAAATAAACAGGAAAAGTATTAAGAAAAGGAGAAATATTGTAGTATATTCCTATACAACTGAAAAGAGGAGGAGAGGGAGGGGAGAAGAGCCAAAAGCATGAAACCGGTCTCTCCCCAGTGTTGCGATCGCCAATGCATGTAAAGGCTAAAATTCGATTGGATTTCAAATGCCAATTTATTTCTTAAATTAGTTCTCTTTTTGGTTTTTATAATCGTTGCATTGTAGCATTTATTACAAAATAACTATTAATAAAAAAAAGTTTCTTAAATTTTACAAAAGCAGTAACTCTTAAACATATGATTAAGAAAATGAAACAAAGTTGCAGATTGACAACTTCAAATCTACTCCAATTTAAATACTTTTATGCAAAAAATATGAACTATTTAAAAAATTAAAAAGAAAGTTACTAAATGAAATAAGTTATTTTAAAGTCAGTGTTATGGTCATTGAAATTGGATTGCAATGAAATTAACAATGGGATAAAGTTTAAAATTAAAGTGTTTTTTCTCATATAAATGCAGCCCTACATTTTAATCTTTTAAATTTGAACTTGAATGTCGGATTTTGATTTGAAGATTGATTGTTACGGAAAGATTTAATTAGTCGCAAGCGATTATTTTTTTCGTATTTCTAATAAGATGGTCATATTAAGAAAAATAGATGAAAGGATGAAAAAAACAGATAAAAGAAATTGAAAGACAGTGTTCAAAATAAACATCTTTTATAAAATATAAATTTTTAATTCATAGTAAAAACTTATAATTAAAACGAAAGTTTTTTTTTTGAAAATTCCAATTTTTCAAACTTTGAAACAATTATTCATCAGTATTACTTTTTCTGAAAATTACATTTTTGGGACTAATTAATTCCTTAATTATAAAGAAGAGAGAAGTATGCTGATCTGAAGCCCACAATATATTCATCCTCTTTAAAATTTTCATACACTGATATTACAAAAATAATGCTTGCCTAAATGTAAAGAATATCATTAAAGATGAAAGTGTCTGCACTGTTCTAAACGCAACTTTTATTACGTACTCATAGAAGAACAAGCAATTAAAAGGAGTTAAAAAGAAAGTCCAGTGTTAAAATAATAGAGAAATCAGGCAAAATAAAAGGAAAAAAATAGCTAATGTTACTCGGGCTCGTGGGACACGTATCTATCTGAAAAAGGTAAATCCTATGATGGACAAAAGTACTTCAATAGATGGGGTTTGAAATAACATCATAAAAATTTTATTTTTACAATATTTTACATTTAACGCTCATTGTTTTCTTAATGCAATAATTTAATACTCCACATTTGTTTCTATATCTCGCATAACTATAATTTAGTAATTATAACTGCTAACAAAATTAAAAAAGCATTTTTTATAGAAATTTTCATTAAAAGTGAACTATTAGACAAAGTTTTTATTTACTTTTATACTTATTTTAAATAATACTCTTTTATTATTATTCATATAGCTTTAAAATCAATATACCTTACCTTATTGTAAAGTAATCAAGTGAGTTAGAAATATAGGTGATATATAGAACAATTGTTTTTATCTCAAATTCTATTCCTACTTCAGTTTCTTGGCACATATGTAAAAATATCAATCATATTTTACATTCCTTTAATTAATCCACATTTCATCTTATCTGGAATTGTGTTTGAAAATTTTTATAAAGTCGAAAGTATTTATTAAAATTAAAGAAATTGTAAATAAATTGGGACGGAAACTTTTCCGTGATTTAACAGAAAATGCTCAGAGAATTT